ACTGAAACTTTATCCTTATAAAAAAATATAATAGAAGAATTCACCTTTCTGTCATCCAAAAAAAATGACAAAATATAGCATTTTTTCACGTTTTTCTTAATTATCAAATATACTTAAGTACCTATGATATTATAAACCTTTGATAATATCTCCAAACAAAAGGTCAAATATACTTAATATTAAAAAAAATATAACTTTGTTTTCTATTTTAACTAATATTTATCTTCAATTATAATACACATTTGCCATTATTAATACAAAGCAGTTTGTTTATCCTAAAAATATGTATTTATGAGCTAAGAAAAAATTATTCATTTACAAGATAGCTAATTAGATACACAAAAGTAGAGACAACAATAGAGGAAATTGTAATAATTGTAGTTGAAACTGCCCTTGCATTAAGAAATAAAACCTTGATTTGCTTTAATTAATTAATTTGTTAGGAGAGTACTCATCTTCTCATATTTAAAAATATCCAATAGAAGAAACTAAAGAGAAATTGGATACACACTACACAGAAAATAACTGGTTTTCGATCCTCAAGGCCAAAACCAAAAAACTCTAAAAGACAATATTCTTCTCGTTCCCACTTCCTCTATCATCTTGAGTGAATAAATGTTCTCATTTAAACAACCCTGACCTCATAGATAAACCCTTGTCCCCATCATCATCACTCTTTCACAACTATGCAGCCCTGCAACAGAGAAATGCAAGGAATCAACTCCCTCTTAAACTCTTCCCAGATCTCCCTCCAGGACCTTCACACCACCCCCAACCAGATCCAAAATTCACACATCAACAACCAACAATAACAACTACAACACCACCACCACCACCACTAGCAACAACAACTCCCTCACTTCGACCCTACCTCTCACGATGACTTTCTCGAGCAAATGCTCTCCTCCTGCTCCTGGCCTGACCTCAACCCAAACAAGCCCTTGTGGGAATCCAACCCCCCTAGTTAATAAAACAAACCCGAAATCGATTCACACTGATTAAGAAAATTAGTAAACAAGTAATCCCTAAACCCCAAATCAATAGGAAGAAAAAAATTACCTCTATTCAATCTAAGCTAACTGTTGTGTAATCGGAACAAATTTGGAGCAAGATATCCAGCAAATTCTAGAGTTAAGAGAAGCAAAAATGGAGATGCATCAATAAACAGGGAAAATGAAGTAGAGCAAAAATAGAAAAAATGAAACAGAGTGAAGAAAGAACCAGATAAATTACCTTCCATGGTGGGGTTAGTATAGAAGATTTGCAGGTTTCAATAAACAATAAGAAATGAAAGATCGACGAAGTAACTGTGAGAAAGTATAAATATTTTGGAGGTTGGTATAAATGATTTTAAAAATTAATAATTTTAGTTTAAATTAAATTTAATATATTGTTACTCATTTTTAAATTAAAAAACTAAATTAATTATTATCAATAATATTATATCAACTTTTAAATTAAAAAATTGTAGCAGTTTAGAATTTTTGCCAATAATTATATAATTTGTGATTGTGATGGTTTATAAAACTTTTAAAAAAATATCTCTACTAATTAACTAAATTTTTGTAGTGTCTTATCCATATTAACCATGTTAACAAACATTTAGTTAAAATATTACCTACAAAAATTCATTTTGTATTCACGAACATGTGACTTGCCTTTATTATTAATTTAAATGTATATTTAAAAAAGGATTATTTTGTATTAAATCTTAATAATATAAAATAAATATTTATATATATATATATATATATAAATTTATAAGATTATATTATTTTCATGTTATAAATAAATATTAAAATTAATAAATATTTTTTAAATAAGTATTTATCAATAATATTTATCTTTCATTCTTATAATTAAATTGATATTTTTAATTTTATCATGTACATCAAATAATAAGAAAATAAAAATAAAAATAATATAAAATAATATAATCTTATACTAACATATAAATAAAATTCAATTTTATTAACATATTCAATTTTGATTTATATTAGTAACATTTTAATTAATTTTGTAATGGGTAGTCAAACCTAAAATTAATAACAATCTAAAATCCATCTTCAACTAAAATATCGTTAAATTATTATAAATAAAATATTATTCTTCAAAAAAATTAAAAACAATTTAATAATATCAATATAAATTAATAATAATTATAAATAAAATAAATATATCTTCTCTTTTCTTAATAACTATAAATTATATATATATATATATATATATATATATATTTATTACCGTATGTTCTAAATTTTTTATTTTTTATTTATTTTTAATAATATTATTCTATTTAAAAAAAAGTTAAGTTTAATACAATAATAAAAATGACATTTTAATAATTAAATTAAATACCATAATTGATCATAATATTTTTAGTTATTTATCAAAGTAAAACATAATTTTAATATTGTTTGTTGAGATTAAAAATGGTACGAAAAAGCACAAGACAAAAAAATTCTCAATACAAGCAATTAACTGGAGAACCAAAATATCCAAGAGATGATGATAAACAAAGATGAAGAATGGCATCAAAAAGTTTTGAATCCAAACCCATAAAAAACATGAGAATTCCTCTAAATCATTAATCATTTGTGTCAATCCTTGTGTGAAATTTAAAATATATATTTTAAATCAATCATTAAAATAAAAAACATTATTATATATATATATATATATATATATATATTTTTAAATAAATTAAGTACGTTGAATATATCAATAATTAATGTTTTTTAAATATTAATTATTATTATTATTATTAAAATCAATTAATGTTTTTATTATTAAAAATATTTTAAAATAAATTGAAACTATCAAACTAATAAATGATTGACTGTTTTTTATTTTGAATTGTATCATTAATTATTATTTTTTAATTTTCATAAATAAAAGTATTCTTAAAATAATAAATGTTAATAATTAATGTGTTTACTTTTAAAAGTATTGTTAAAGTAATAAATGTTTTGTTGTGGGTATATAACATTATTTCATGATACATGTGACTGTCTCAAATCATATTCCTCATGCTATAGTGATTACATTTGAGTATAAAAATTGTAGTCAATATTGTTGGTTAATTTTTAACTTCTAGAAGAGGAGAATTTAAAAAATATTATATGAGTTTTTTATCATTATCACACCACGTTGAATTTTAATAAATTTATACAAAAAGAATGTAAACGAATTTTATAGATTTATAAGATTTTTTTTTATGAAATTTTTAAAAACATTCAAAAAAATTTAAAATAAGAAAATTATGTGATTTAGATATAAAAGGAAAATTAATATAATTTTTTAAAATTTCAAATAGTAAATTATGTTAAGTTCTTATTTATCCATTTTAGGGATTTAAAATTATAGTTTATAGGATGACATGGAACGAAATATTATTTATTGATTTAAATAAAAGTTCACTAAAATAAAACTATTTATGAAAAAATTACAAGATACTACAAATAAATATCTGTATCTTTTAAATATTTGTAATGTATGATTATTTGATGAGTATGATAATTTATATTATATATTTAATTAAATATTATATGAAATTTATTAAAATCTTACTTAATTTTCCATTTTTTTATACTATTGAATACTAAATTACTTTTTATAAATGATAAAAAAATTAAGTATAATATTATTTTCTATGATTTTCCTTAAAAAAATATCACAATACTTATTTGTATAATTTAAAACACTCCAAAATATAAATGAAAATTGTGAAAATAATAAATAATTGATATTTATATTTTCTTAAAATAAAGTTAATCATAAATGTAATTAATAGTCAACCATTTTTTCTAATAAGGTCGGATTTGTGTTGATGATACACTTTGATTTTATTTTTATTTTGTTTTTTACCAACTATACACCTATTCAAAACTCAAACCATCTATCCATAGTTAAACAATAACCATGGTTAATGAAACCATTTCAAGTTTTAATATATAAAAAGGTGGTTTAGATGATTCTTCTCTTCATTCCAATAAAAGACTTCATTTTTCTTTTTCAAAATAAACTCTTTAAAACTCTCCTTTTTTTAGTGTCTATATATATATATATATATATATATATATATATATATATATATATAAGGTTAGAAAAAGAGATTTGGAGAAAAAGAAAACAAAATACAAGAATATTGGGATTTGGTAAATTAAGGGACAAGTTGGTGGTGCTAAACCATAAAGTGAGGTCATTTTAGGTTTGTTGTGGAAGCATTCTCTCAAGTTTTTCTTTATTGACACTGGTATGTCTTTCTTCTTTCTTTCATTTTCACTTTCAATGAAAAATTTCTTATTTTTATTTGTTTAGTTCCAATGAAAAATTAGAATCCATCGGTTGATAATTTTTTTTTTGCCCCGAAATTTCTGAAAACCCTTTTGTTATTTTAATTTTCCGAAGCTATTTTCATTTTCAGATTTTCAAAAACCCTCTTGGATTTTTGAAGAAGAGGGTCTGCATCTGTTCAAAACTTTATGGTCCCTCCTTTCATTCTTCCAAAACACACCATCTGCAATTTTTAGATTTTTTGGCACATAACAAAGAGCGGGACTCCAAAAAATCTCTCTGTCCCTCCACCATCCCCTCTCTCTCTCTCTCTCTCTCTTCTTAGGATGTAGAAAGAGAAAGCACCTAGTTTCTTTTCTTCAATAGCCATGACCAGCTGTACCCGTTTTAAGTTCTCAAACTCGAATGCCTGAATACTTAGTTTTCCTTCTTTGATTTCTGTAATTTTTTTATCTTTTGGAAGCGGTGGAGGAATAAAAATGGAACCTTTACACGATCCTTCCTTTTTTATTTGAATGTGATAACCATAACAGGATGGTGTGTTTTGTATACGAGGGTATCGTTTGATCAAGCTAAAATCCCTTAAATAATTGGAAGTAAAAGCTGAAAAAGTAAGTGTTTTTGTAGGTTTGCCTGTTAATGTGCATACTGTTTTAATCAATTTCTTGGATGGTTGTTTTTGAAACAGATCTGTGTCTAGACTGATGGGTAACGGGGAACCGTTGGATTTGTATAAACTTTTCATGGTGGTGAAGAAGAAAGGTGGCTATGATGCTGTTTGTAAGAACAGTTTGTGGGATTTGGTGGGGGAAGAATATGGGTTGGGGGTGAAGGTTGGTTCCTCTGTGAAACTTGTTTACAGCAAACACTTGAGTACTCTAGAGACATGTTTGAATGATGTTGCTGGTCTTAAGTTTGTTGAGTGTGGATTAGAAGATGGTAGAGTTAAGTTTCACAAGCATTTGACAGAGGCACACACTGAATCCATGGTAGATGATTCTGGCGAGGCAGGAGATGAACTTGATAGGAGGGAGTATGGCTGTCCGGATGGAAGGAAGTTGTATGGTTATAATAGAGTCAAGAGTGTGAAATCAGATTTCAATGGGGCTGAACATGAGAGTGCATATGAATATCTAGATGTGAGTAAATCATGTGGTAGTAATAGTGTGAAGGAAAAAAATTCAGATTCTAACGGAGGTGAATTTGATAATGTATGTGACTATCTGGATGGGAGAAATTCATGTGGTACTAACAGGGGGAACAGGGTGAAAGTGGTGAATCCCGAGTCTAATGTGACCAAGAAAACTTGGAGTTCAGGATTTGTTGATTTGGACATGCTAGACGATCATGAGACTGGTGAGCCTATTACAGTAAAATTTTGTGGCTTTAATACTGAAATGGATATACTAGAAGAGTTTGATGAGAACAAAATATTAACTGTGGATGCATCTGATGCAGAAAGTGACATGCTTAGATTGTCAGATGGAAGCAAGAGCTGTGACGATGATAGTGATGAAGTCTTGATATTGGATCCTTCTTGTGTTGACAAAAAGAAATTTGGTCGAAAGAGGAAGAGAGAGTCTACCTCAGAAATGCTAACGTGGGTTACTACTATTGCCAAAAATCCTTGTCATCCTGCAGTTGGTTCAATTCCTGAAAAGTCCAGGTGGAAGTCCTACAGTAGTAAGGAGATCTGGAAGCAGACTTTGTTGCTTCGCGAAGCTGTCTTTTTGAAGAAAGATTTTGAGACAATAAGTGAACAACTTACTTGGCAGGTAATATAAAAAGAACATGTTCTCTCTATTTGTCATGCAGATCTTTAATGAATTATGAACTATAATATAGGGTTCTATGTCATTCTTTTGTGTTGAAACCATATATAATGGAAAAAAATCCTTGTAAATTTTGGATAAATTTATTTCTCTAATTATCTAACTAAATGGATGTTTTTATATATTTATTTTGGTAACTATTATCGATATTTTTCTAATATAGCTTCTTTCATCACTATTGATGTAATAATATATGTATATATGGAATCATGGATGGTGTGCTTCAACTTTGTTTTATGGAAAGTCATTGTTTGGGGGTTTTCTTTTCTAGTAAAATATCACACAAAAAATTATCTCTGTTTGACATCTATTCCTTCACTCATTGTAGGGATACGTTTTATCCAGTCTTCTATTTCTTTATCATTGTTTAGACTTCCCTCCCATTTCAGTAGTTCAAGTTCTGCTAATTTTTTTATTTAATTTGTTATGCTATATTTCTATTCATTTTATTACCGTATTTTATTGTGACTTTGTTACTATGTTGTTATTGCTTGTAGATTGATGGTGATTGTGAGTAAACTATGACTTATTATTTATTATGAATTTCTTTAATTTTTGTTTTTTTAAGTATTTATATGTGTACTTGTGTTGTATAAGTTATTGTAATTTTTAAAATAGTGGTCATTTTGCTATACTGTTTCCAAAGCTAGTGACTACCTTCTGTTGTCTGAGATTGATAACTATGATATATAAGGAGAATAATATAAGTTTATATTGATATCATTCTGCTGACTCTTATATTTTATCAAAATTGATGTCTCATAATTTTCTAGGCAAGAACAAGTTATTGCAGAAAATTTAAAATTTCTATTTTCAACTTATTGCAAACTATACTAGATTTGTCAATAACTTATTTATGGTGAGAATTATTAGTATCTTAACGCATAATTCAATTTTTCAATTTTAAATTTATCTCAAACAATTCCATTTTTGAGTTCTCGTTAAATTTTTGCAATCAAAAGAATATTTTATTATTGATATGTTATTACATAGTTTATTCTATTATTGGTGTGAAAATTATTTATTTTTAATTTGTTTGCAGACATAATGTTAGATTAGTTTAGAATTGTGTTAACTATCTGCAAAATCAACATTTAAAATTTTCTGTATACTTCAATATTATACAAATATTATCAATTTAAATCTTTTGTTATGCTCCTCAAATTTAGTTTCAATTAAGTTTCTCTCTTGTGTGTGTGTTTGTGTTTTGAGTTGAAAACATCCCTGTGGTGTCAAATTAAAACCACAATGTTATTCCATTTTGTAGAGTCAGAAAATGCATCCTTCCATGTATGATGATCGCAGTGGGACAATGTACAATTTTAGACAGAGGTTGAGATGTGACAAAAGAATTTTATGGGGAAAATCTACATCAGATGGAGTCTCCTCATCTTCATCTAGAGGAAGAACACATAGAGGTTTGCTAAGAACCCAAAACATTCGTGCTGAAGATCGGGCAGCAGTCAAAAATTTACTTGAGTCTGGTATTACACTCTCAAGTGTTGATAAATGTGCTCGAGTGCACATTCCTGTGGGACCAAACCATCAAGCTGAAGTACCAAAATGGACTGGTATGACTTGTGAGAGTGATTCTAAATGGTTGGGGACCAAAATATGGCCTCCAAAGTTTGAAATTTCCAAATGGCGTATTGTTGAAAGGGACCCTATTGGAAAGGGAAGGCAAGATTCATGTGGCTGCCGTATACAAGGTTCTGTTGAGTGTGTACGGTTTCATGTTGCTGAGAAAAGGTGTAAAGTTAAGATGGAACTGGGTGAGGCTTTTTACCAATGGAATTTAGATAAGGTAGGTGAAGAAGTTAGGAGTTCTTGGACAGAGCAAGATGAGAAAAAGTTCAAAGATGTGGTTAAATCAAATCCTGCATCACTTGATAAACGCTTTTGGGATCATCTCTTTAAGACATTTTCTAAGAAGAGTAGAGAAGATTTGGTCAGCTACTATTTCAATGTCTTTCTTTTGCAGCGCAGAGCATATCAGAATAGGCATACACCAGATAACATTGACAGTGATGATGATGAATCAGAATTCACACCATTGAGGAAAGTGTTTGGACATCAAGCATCAAAGTCACATAGCATCACTTTGTTATCCCCAAAAAAGTCCACTGGAAAAATTTGTAAGTGAATGGTCAGTAACATGTTGAGCTTCATGGAGAATGTGAATTGACAATTTTTTGTGAGTTTTGCTGCAATTATCAATGGATATTTCTCTCCTTGGATTGATTTTTTGTATAGATCAATTTAGGAGATGAAAGGTGCATTTTGGAAGCCTATACAACAACTATGAAAAATCTTACCATAAGGAGTTATTTTAATTTAGAAAGCTTCCATTTTTTGAGACATGCATTTTATCTAGTGGTGATTATATGTTGCAGTCACAGGTACTTTTTTTTTTTTTTTCACTAGGTTTTGACAAAGTTTACTTTAAAGTTAAAAAAATCATCCTCATGAATATATAGAGGAACATTTTATTGTAGAGTTTTATGAACAAATACTACAAAATCATATTTGAGTCTTGATCTTTCATTCATGCAAATTTCTATCCGAATGTTTTTATATGTTAAATTTATTATTATAGACTATTCATATGTAGATTCTTACATGTTTTTAGTATTAATTTTTAATTAAAATTGGGGATCTATTTCAGTAATATACCAAATAAAGGTTTATATTAAATATTTCGGGTACTTAATACTAATGGAGAGTGACAAAAACATTTTTAGAACTGTATATATGATTTATAACTTTACAATGTTAATTAATGTGTTGGTGCCAAATATATTTTATATAAAATGTACAATTACCAAGAATATGGATGGCCCTTTTATGCTCATGGAGCATGCAAGCCACTTACATATGTATTTGGTTGTGTATTATCTTTCCATAAAATATTTTTATAGTGAATTTAAGTATGCTCATTAGATAGAGCAATAAGAACATCATTTCCTGTATGTATGGACAGGATTGGTATACATTTGGTGTAAAAATTAATTAAATTTAACTTCTCATATTGTTTTTATGAATGTAAATTTAATTATTCCAAACATTCTAATTTTTGTTTATCTTAAAGGTGTAATTATTTTATTGAAATAGGTAAGTTTAAAAAAATAACTTTTTTGGGTAAGTTCTTATATTAAATATGACTTTTAATTATTATTTTTTTAATTAAAGTTGTGTTATTTAATAAATATTTGATTATTTAATTTTTTTATATTATTATAAATAAGTTGTGTTATTAGTAATATCTTTATATATATTTTTATTAATTTGAAATAGTGATGTATAATATAATTTTAATTTTCTTTAAATTTTTTAAAACTAATAATATTTTGATAACATTTCCGATAGGATCCTCTTTTATGCAAATAAAATGATTTTTTTAACATGTAAAAGTCATTAAAGTACCAAAGTTATTATAAGAAAAGAGTATTATTAAATTTAGTTCAGATTTTCAAAAGATACGAGTAGATAATAGATTATATAAACTATGTATATAAAATTTTTAGAGAAGAAGAAACTTAGAGTGAAGACATTGGTAATAAAAGAGATTAATTTTGTCTTTTATTCTTAAAAATTTTCTTATTTATAAAGAGTACACACAAATGAAATTAAAAATTTTGTTAAATTAAACTCAAATCCGAAAACATTTTACAAAGTGGAATCCAAGGCTCTAAAGTAATGGTCCACACCTAAGATGACCGGCGAGAGAAAGGAAAAGAGTTTGGATTTTATCTAAATTTGGACTCGAAAGGATCATACAATATGGAATCTAAGATCCATAAAAATGGCTTATAAGATTGAATTATTTAAAGTAGAGTGAATTTGGTTTTATCTTCTTGTAACATGTTTGCAATGGAGGTAATGGACACGTATAAAGATAAGAGAATCTGATTTTGATAACATGTTCGAATGACAACCTTTGACCAAAAACTTAACTCTAATTTGATCTTTCCATGTACTGAGTTTCTATAAGAATAAGCTTGTTTGTGGATCAACATTTCTTCCATTAATTCCTTATTATAATCTTCAAATAAGTCTTCAACTTTTTTAAATTTATCCTCAAGGACATAAAGCTCCGTCATAGACTTAACAAATCTTATTTGTTGAGGATTATTATCTCTAAGAATGATCTTGCTAAGAGAATAGGAATCGAGTGACTTTTGTGAGGAACTGGCCATATTGGGATCTGGTGTCTTGTGATGGTAATTATTTATTTCACAAAGATGTCGACTAGTTAAATATTGTAACTTTCATCTAAGGGATATACTTCAAAGATTCTCCAGATATAGGTTTCATTCTTAACCATAAGTGATTGGATTCTGCAAATAAGGACAGTGAATAATGAAGATCTAAGTTAAAGAATATAGTGATTCTTCATAGTTTTCTCTCTGTTTTTCTAAATCCAAAATCTTTTTTAACTTTTGTCTCTACTAAGACAAAGGAGAAAACCATTATAATAGGGTCAAAAAATAGAACCTCTCTTTATACGGATGCAAGAGTGGTTGGTGTCAATCTAGGAGGATAGGTTTTATCAGTTTTGGCTGTGTGTGACAAAGATTTTACCATGAAAGAGAAGGGGAAACTATGTGTGACTGAGATCATCTGGACCATTTTCTAGGGTCTTGAGAGAAAATTAGGTACCAGGTTTTGTTTCCCTTGATATGTTTGATGGAAAAATCATACCTAGAAAACAAACCCATAAGTCTAAGGATTTGTGGATCTTGATACATTTTATTTTTGAACTTGAGAAGTTTTAAAAAGAAAGAATTATTCATTTGTATTTCAAAATGATAGCCCCTAAGATGGAAATTAAACTTTTTATTGTCATTTTTTTATGGCCAAAGCTTCCTTATAAGAGGTGTGATAATGCTTTGTTGCCTCTTTGAATTTCCTACTAGCATGTCCACAGTAGTATCTCTTGTTGTCATCTTCTTTTATAACTAATGTTCCCCAATAATGGTCACTTGCATCAATTTGGATTATTCTTTTCCTTTTCCAAGAATTTTTAATGTTGGTGGAGCCTGAGCAATCTTCTTTAACTCCTTGATTGCTTCAATTTGTTCTGCTCCCCAAGATGGAGGATTTTTCTCCAATAATCTAGACAAAAGGCTTGTGTCCTTTGCAGCATGGGGAATGAAATCCATGATATAATTGAGGATTCCTAGAAATTGTTAAATATGCATTATGATTAAATTTTTGTCAGCAAAATTTAGAAGTTATTAAACAATATGAGGTTGATGTTGATAATTTCCTTGTGAGAAATGTATTCCTAGAAAGTCAATGTTTCTTTGGGGTAGGTGGATTTTCTTTTCTGAGAACATGATCATGTGTTGTTTGGCTTTATCAAAGAATTGGTCTGGCAATTTCTTATGGGAGTTCATGTCTTGGGTGAACAATAGGATATCATCGACATAGATGATGACTTTGTCTAATATGGGTTCACAAATTCTTGTAATGTCCTTTTGAAATAAAAAAAGAGCTACCTTGTGACCAAAAGACATTACTTTCCACTGATATTGGGCATTAGAATGCAAAAGAATGTTTTATATATATTCATAGCATCAATGCCCAATTGTCAAAATCCTGATTTTAGGTCGAATTCGGAGAAAAAATTGACATTTTTTTATCAAGGAAGGTAGAGAGGATACTTTAGGAATTGAGAACTTATCATCTTTAAGAAAATAATTAAGAAGTTTATAATCAATGACCAACCTTTCTTTTCCTTGGATCTTTTCATATCTTTCTTCCACATAAAAGGTTTGGCAAACCCAATTATACTGGGTTGGTTCTATCAACCCTTGCCTTAATTGTTCTTGGCATTCTTGTTAGGTCAACTGGAGATCAGATGGTGACATTCTTGGGTGAGTTACCTTTGTGGGATTGATATCTTCATTAAGCTTGAAAGAGAGTTTGACAAAGTACTTAGGATTTTTTCACAAAAAGATTTGAATGAGAGAATTCTTCATGGTTGTTAGCACACAATGTGACTAGCTTGACCTTTTTTTTTTCTTAAATTAGGAGGGACTTCTGAGAGAGAAAAAAGTTAAGGTATTTCTGTGAAAGGTTTGAATTCTTTCTTGAATCTTGTCCTAGTAGAATGGATCTGAAACTAGTTTGCTAAAGAGAAGACATCCATTCCTACCAACATGTCTTTGTTTGGAAGCTTGCTTCCTATAATCCTTGACCAGATAATGCATTATGGGAAAAACTTGATCCTAATTAGGCCCTTTGTAATGAGATTAGTCTTGAAAATTTTTCTATCAACAACAACAAAATAAGATACTTTCTTTTTCCAAAATTCCTTGGACAGGATGTCAAAATTCATTATTGATTTTTATGCACCAGTGTCAAGATAGGTTATGAATTTGATGAATTTATCATATTTGGAAGGAAGTTGTGAAGGTGTAATGTTGATAGGATGCATTTCTTGAAAAGAGAAACCATGGATCCTTTCTGCTTCTGTTTTAGAATCTGGGTAACAATATTCTACTTTATCAAATAATAATGTGAGGGTAAACATTATTTCTTCATCTGCAGATCTTTGTTCGAATAATATAGACTCAATCTCTTCATCTTCTCCAAGATTGAGAGTAGAAATAAGTTTTATGCCCTTTTCATCTTTGTGGGGACAATTTCTTGAAAAGTGACCCCTCTTCCTGCTAATAAAACATCTTTAATCATAAGATCTTCCTCTAATCTTCTTTCTTCTAAAGAACTTAAAAGCATTTTTCTTTTTATTTGTTGGATGTTTCCCTTGTTTCTTCTTTTTTGCAATTGTCGGAATAGGGTTTCTTACATTTTATCTCAAGATAAGGGTTTTTACTGACTTTGCTGAATTTGCTCTTTTAATTCATGATGTCTGAGAAGCATTCATGTTGCCTATAGAGCTTATCAACTGCTTCCAATGCACTTGGTGAATTTGTCCCATGGTCAGAACAGTGAAGTCTTTCTTATGTATTTTTTAGACTTGGGTCATTGAGCTCGATAAGACGATGAAATCTCTTAATCAATCATTTATAGTGTTTATCCAAATCTTTGATCTTCACTAAACAATATCTCATCTCAAAGAATTCTTACATGAGATTTTTGTCTATTATAGCCCCATCTTTTATGAATTCTTCATGT